TTGAAAAAACAAAAGTTGTATCCAAGATGGCCGACTTCTAAATGGCCACCATGGTCACCACCCATCTTGAGGAGTTTGCCCCCTCACATATACTAATGTGCCGTCGCCAGGACTTTAATATCACCAACCATTCCCATGTTATTGCGGTGTATCCATATAAATGGCCCACCCTGTACTATAACATATATACACACACACACTTCCTAAACTTATATCAGAAAATCACTATCAATCCACACATCTTAGATGACACACAAAACCATTTAATCCCACTTCCATTTGCAGCCATAAAAAACCCATTGTCTTATTCAACTTGAAATTATAGTCATATTTTATTACAATATTAGAATTTGTACACATTGCCCTCTCCAACCTCTTTCATTTATAAATTTATTACATAAATATAATCAAAAAATGCAAAATAACGAAGGCAAATTTAACATGAATTCAAAAACGAAAAGTGTCACCTGACTCTGCGATAGAAACTCGAGGAATGTATTTTTCATATATATATTTTTTAAACAAAGGTCAAACAAGTCAGAGTAGAGTCATCTAATTTTTAAAAAAAAGAAGCTCTGCAACATTAAAAAAAAAAAAATGTCAAGAGACTCATGTTCACTCTTTGTTTTTGATCATTACTCATGGGCTGTAATGGTGTTGCTAAGTTATTGCAAAATTAAAAACAATTCTCACTTTTGAAGACCAATCCAAAGAAAAAAATATTGGGATTATTAAATTTATCATTGGCTGTAAGATAAATGTAAAGGTTAGTACTCATCCGCATAGGAGCTCCCTTTAAGTGAGAAGATAATTATAACAAACCAATTAAAAAAAGCTTCTATTGTCACCCCCAACAGCTGGTCAGTTTATGATCATCAAACAGATCTGCAATCTGAGTAATCTTCACAAAACTCATGCAAAAATAAAAATCACTGCATGACCTTTAATGCAACCCTGCCCTTTGACGCTCATCTCATGCAAATCTAGGGTCTTGTATTTTTCAACAACCTTTTGGGACTTTGCTACTTTTAGGAATTCTCCACGCGGTTTTTAAAGACTTCTCTACCAGATTTAAAGATGCATCGCATCTCGAATGTTGACAATGACAATCAGTGAGTTTGCTTGTGAGCTAACACTGGTCAACCCTGTGACGTCAGGCATCAGATGTGGCAACTATAATTGTGAACATGCAGACACTGAACAAACCAAATGAACAAAAACCAAATATAACCCTTAAACCAAATTAACCAACAGGAACCTCCGTCATCCACATAGTCGAGCAGTGTAACATTAAATACAGCATGTAAAAAACAAAAACAGTAGGAAAAAAAAGGTGTATTATAGAAAATTATATTATTACAGTATATATATATATATATATATATGTATATGTGTGTGTGTGTGTGTGTGTGTCTGTTGACCTGTAAAGATTTTTAAAAAATAAACCAGAAAACACCCAGTAAAGTGTAAGCTTTGATGTAAACTTGTAAAAACAACCCTGTGATCATGTGGCTAAAGAAAAAGCTCTGATATGTGAATTAACCCCCAACCTTTCATTCATTCAAGCGAACATCACGAGAGCAGTTTTAAACAGCAGGCAGGGAGAGTTGGGTGTTTCTCAGCGGTGCTGCCGTAAATGTCAGAGATTCTGGAGAGGATAAAGGGAGTCGCTAAGCTGCAAACGTCTTACCACCTCCTTGCCGGGTCCTTGATCCACGTATAACATGCTGCTGATGAGGCTGAGAGGTGGCTTGGGATGTCAATATCCAAGAGTGGAATAAAGGTTTGTTTGGGGTGGAGTGGGGAGTTTTTCTTTTCTTTTTTTTTTTTATTAAATCCCAGTGAGAGCAACACATGTACACAGTGTGACTGGGTTCTTGTTTCTCAATAGCCGTCCTTCTGAGTGATCATATGATCCTGGATCCTCTGCAGCATCTCCTGCATCCGCCGCAGCTGGGAGAAGAGAGCAGAGAGAGGAGATGGGTGTTAGTGTGATACGTTTGAATGCAACGCATCCACTTTCATAGCGGTGTGAAGTGTAAGGGGGATTTCATGGAAGCTATTCATTTACGCACGGCTGCACAGGCAACAAATCAATAAACGCCCGGGAGATGGGCCTGTTCTCCCCAAACCACGTGACATGTGCTGAATGGCAGCAGGGAAACAAGGCTCCCTCCATCTGCTGCTTCACTCTGGACTACAGAGTATCTGTTATCACAGAAGCAGCACTTTAGGATATTAAAATCACTAGTATCAGTCAGCTACTCAATCACCTAATCATGTTGAGTGAGTCCCCCCCCCTTATCAGATTTGTTGGAAATAAGCAGGTAACACAGGTGTTATACAGCTCCTGTTCACCTGGAGATGTTTGTCCAGCTGCTGCTGTGTGTGGGTTGGCTATAACACCCGTGGGCAAAGATGTATATTGAGCTAATTTGGTGTTACTGCGTTGCTTCATGTTGATCAGACAGAAAATGTAAAATAAACAAGTGAGGGGAAAAAATAAGACTCTTTATTTAATGAAATAAATAGATTTTGCACGGTCTGGTGTTGCAGAGGGAAGTGGGCTGGTATTGACATAGCTTATTTAACTCATTATGATTGCAGAACAACATTAAAACCATTTACAACCGTCTATTCCTGAGACTCAAAACAGTCATTAACAAGGCAACAGTCTAGCATCTACAAACCCAAAATAAAAAGGAATCTATAAGGAAGGTTTCTCTTCACAACAGTAATATTTATAACTAAACTTTGCAAAAAAAAAGTAAGGAAATTTGGGTTTGGTTGATTATTTCTGTGTTGCAACGATGCTGCTTGGTAATAAATCTTACACTGAGGGAATGCCTGTTTATTTCCTGTTAAATGGTGTCACATTTGTAATGAAAATACATCTGTGGGTTGAGCAGCGGATTTAAGCATGTGGGTTATGTGCATTAAAAACATTCTCTGCCACAGAGATGATTAATTCTGCTATTGACTCTTGTTTTGAGCTTCTGACACCATGACTGGCCTTCACCATCAGGCTCCTTTGCACCAGTGTCTGCAACATGTGCAGACACTGGTGCAGACACTATTCTCTAAGATGACAATCCCCCCAACCCCACAGAGAAGACTTTATCAGAGACTACCTCCAGATTTTGGGAGTGGAGAGGATGAAATGGCCCACCTTCCGTCCTGACCTTACCCCTGATCCCAAAAACCTGTAAGTGGCATGTTTGCGGGATCAGCTTGGGCCATAATGACCAACATAACATTGGCTGATTTGGGACAAATGCTGATTGAAGAACAGGATGTGACCAAACTGGAGACTAGCATGAGGAGGAGGGTGCCAGGTCATTGGGGTTGTATTAAACAATTAAAGTATGTTTTGTTTCTTCAGACTTAAATAATCTAATCCATTAAATTACACCAAACAAGAGTCAATATCATAGCTGTTTGGCATTGGCAGGGAAGATTTTCATGGGCTCAACTCTGCTGCTTGACTGACAAATGCATAAGATATAAGGATACAAGGTTTACTACCTGGAAGCATTGTTACATCAAAGAAGCAATCAACCAAACACAAATTTCCCTACTTTTTTTATGCTACTTTACTTCCACTAAGCATCACAGTATTGCACAGCATGTAGCCCTTTAAATACCCACTAACACCAGGTTTTTTCTGTCAGTCTTAACACTTTCCCATCATTATCCTTCCCACCTTCTCTGACCTGCCATGCACAGATGTTATGAGCTCAGGTGCAGGAACACATGTTACATTCAGCTTTTCTTTCTTTAATCCTGAGAAGGTTCATCCTGAAACTCTGGATGATGGCGTGGTTATAAACATCCTGGTGCTTCCAGAGAGTGTAAGGGGCAATCTCTTTTCCTAGTCACAGTTTAAAGCTCCAAAAGGCTACAGGTTTACTCTATAATTAAACCAGTTCCTGTTTATGAGACTGTTTTCTTGTGAGTTTCACAAAACGTGATCTGACTGGACTTAAAAAAAAATGTTTTTGGGTAAACACATCATCTGTGAGCTAAAGATACTCAGAGAGCTTCATCGCCTTTGTGATCTGAGTGCCTCTCCGGGCTGGGCTGACGGTCTGAGTGCTCGTGGTGATCAAAATTGTGGGCAGAGTCATGCTCGTGGTCGTGATGCGACTCCAGTTCGTGGTCGGCGTGCCGTACCTCCTCATCTTTCTCTCTGATGAGCTTTTCCGTCTCGGTCTCGGCCACTCCGGGCACCACTGGGATGGGGAAGTCTGTGCCGCTCTCCCGGGTTAGCTTACTGCAGAGAGACACACGTTTTGGGAAAGTTCACAGAGTTTACTACAAAGTGAGAACACAGACCAATGTAAATAAGCCTGTGATGTCTAATCAGCTGCCGACAAACATCGTTAAGACACTACACCAGACACGTCAGCGCAAACCCATCAAATACCTCAAGAATATATGAAGGTCACACGTTTTTTTAATCACAGTCTCTTTCTCAAAACAACAATATTCTAACATTGTTATAATTCATCTTGATTTTTCTTGTGCCATATTTCTTTCATCTCACTAAAACTTATTTCTCCCGTCCTTCGGCGTGAGCCATACTTGCGGTTGCGCTCCTTGACGACCATGCGGGTCATGCTCTGGATGCACTGAGCTCTGTAGTTCTCGTAGTGAGTCTCTCGGGTCACGTCCTTGAGATCTTGCATGTGCGTGCGAACGAGCATGTTCCTCAGCTTCACGAAATCGCAGTGTGCTGGGTTTTCCACTGCAGACCACAGAGTGAGGATCAACTACACACTCAATACTTATACTCTGTCAACTTTTGTAATGGTACATCTATACAGAAAGCATTTTAGTATGTATGATTTTGAGGTCTTTGTTTAGGGGAACACGTGAGGTCAAGGTTACCTTCTACAATACCCCAGGGGTACAGACGGCCTCGCACCCTCTTCCCTTTGGCCTCCACCACGGTGTTGCTGCCTATTACTGCAAAGGGGATGCTTTCCTAAAGGGGTCAAGATAAAGATCGTAATATTAAAAGCATGTTATGGTCATAAAGATCACATCTGGCTGGGCAGGGTGTGAACACATCTGTATTAAAAAAAACAACAACAACAGACCAGTTATATCCCTTTCCTCTTAAATGTCTTCGTCCTTTCTTGTGCAAGACCTTTTTCCCCCCTTTTTAACCTGATCTTTACGTAATCCAACAAGAGGTAGAATTCCATAAACCTCAAAGTTATTGATTTGATTGTAATCATACTGACATGACCGTAGCATATGTAGTCGACTGGACCATGAACTTAAGATAAAGCTTTGCATTAACTTTGCCTAGATCACTGTGAGTGTATAGGGCAGTATAGGGCATAGATAAATATGATATCAATAAATATATTATATGTTTTTAAGATTTTCCTCATGTCACATACTTACATTGTTCAAAATGTGACATCTAACAAATTTGTTACATTATTGCAATTATTGTTGTTCCAGTAAATAAACCAGTATTTAGATCTTTATCATAGCGTTAGAATGAAACGCTGTGTTGATATGATAAATTAAATTACACGTAGTAATAAAATTATTAAAGACGTGTCACATGGTCAAAAAAGCGCTGCAGGCCTGGCAAAACCAGCCTGTATGACACAGAAAATATATCCTATACTTACTAAAATTAAAATATATGAAATGCATCATAATTAAGAAGTAATTCTGATTTTCTTGATAGTTATTGTTTATTGACCAAAGTAAAGACCTGTGTGTTGAGCAGGGGTTTTGCTAGTAGTGATAACCTTTGCTTTTATTTTTCCACCGACTGTGTGCTTAGTACCACCTTACAATACAGGAAGTGTAGAGGAGGCTGATTCATCAACACTTAAATCCACCAGGTCTGACTATATAGTCTGTTCATTCATTTTAATGTCAATTCTTATTAATATTAAATTTGTTTGCAGCACAATTTGTTTTGAATGACAATGTCTTGACTCTGAGCATTCTGCTTTCAGCTGAGTTTAGTGTACTAAACACAAATACTTGGATGAAGAAAAGAAAGAAAGGAGATTACTGATCACCTTCAGCTCATGGTCTTGTTGCTTGAAATCTTCATCTTCATCAGAGTCGCAGTCGGGGAACTGGTATATCTTTATACCGTACTGCTCAATCTCCTCTCTGATCTGCAAAGAAAAACAGTGGAAAAACATGTCTGATGTCAAAGTGTGAATAACGTCCTCTGTGAGGATACAAGTAAAACACTCTGCGGCGTATACACAGATTGATTCGTGGGATGAAACATGCAGTCGCCTTGCCTTAATTTTCTTTTTCTTCACTTCACCAGGGGTGAGTGTGTCTGCTTTGGCCAAGACTGGGACAATGTTGACCTTCTCATGGAGAGCCTTCATAAATTCCACATCCAGAGGTCGGAGGCTGGAAGAGATGAGGCAAAACATACCAAGAAAGGATAATGAGACACTTATTATTTATTAGGATAGTGTAGAGTAGACAAGAGAGTGGGCATTTTCGAAAAAGGTGAGTCACCTGAAAGCAGGCCACTGCAATAAGGACTACAGCTTTCAGCACATGAGGAACACAAACTTTATTTTAGGGGTTCTCTGAGTTTTTATGGCCGGGTCGGTGTTTGTAGAGTGTAGAGTTTCTTCAGAGAATGATGGTTTGCGCACGTTTATCGCTAACCATTAGTGAGGTTGGAGTTACATTCCTGGGCAAAAAGTTATCAATCATTGTCAGGAAGGTTTAGTTTGCTAATGATGACTAATTGAAGAAAAATACTTCCCGAGTCACATTCTGGGCTTCCCTATCATGGTTTAACATAAACTGTGGCTGAATGAAATATACAAGCCATGCGCTTCTTCCACGTTGCCTTCACAGGCCACAGAAAACTTCAAAAAGGGCCACCACTGATGATTTACTGTTAGACAAGTTTAAACTGGGGTTGATAATCATTAACTGTTAGATCATTTTGTGCCAATAAACTCCATTTAGATTTGAAAGCGTTTCATAAATGCTCATGAATTGCTGGCAATCAGGATCAGGCAACAACAGATTTACCTGCCGATCCACATCTAGATTTCTCCACTCTAAGCTTTCCTGCATCAAGTCTCATCTGTAGTTCAAAATTAAAGGTGCTAGTTTATCTCAGAGATTTAGCATGTGACCACATGCTATACAGCTGAAATGCATCAGTCTGGGTTGGAGTCCTCCCCCTCCTCTCTCTCTCTCTCTCTCCCCCTCCCCCCCATCTAATGCTGCACTATCAAATGACGGCAAAAATGTACAACCCCCTCCCCCCCAAAAAAACTTGAAGCATAAGATGATGTCTCTGGCTGCATGGCACACTGGCCGACCAATCGGTGGCAGCAGACATTTGCTCACCAACAGAGGGAGCCGTTTCTCCATGGCTGTCACGCTGAAAATGCTCTGCAGCATTACTTGAATTTTATGGTATTCTGGCTCTCTGATGAACACAGATCTGGATGCGCACAAATGTGCTGAGAGGTACCACAACAGCACACAGCACAAACAATTGATTAGTGTGAAATCACTGCATCAGATGTAAAGTTATCCAAGGGCAGCTGAGAGGTGCTTTATCTCTGGGAAAGATGCTGGGCATCAACAATTTAAGAGACTGAACACACTGTGAGTAAACACCGATCCACTAGATACGTGTGGAAGATATCACGTGTGCGCTCAGGACGATGGCTGCGATAAACATGTGATCAGAGATCACGAGGAAAAGTGTAGTTAATGGTCCCATTATCATTTCTGAACATTGCACGTGATAATGTGCTGCAGCAGAAACAACTTAATCTTCCATATTTTTAGAAGTAATAATAAAGAGAGGACGAGCAGGCTGAGTTAGCTGTAGCTTTGTCATACCCGTGACCGAAGGGTGAGATGAAATAGAGGCAGCAGTGTACGCGGTTGTCCTGGATGTTCTTGCGATTGAGGCCACTCTCATCCCTGAAGTACTGCTCGAACTGCTGGTCAATGTAGTCAGCCACTGACTTCCAGCTAAAGCAGAAACACACAGGGGCGTTCAGTCTCAGCTGACCGTGTAACTCAGATTCACTCAGGGTTATCTGATGCGTTAAACATGTCTGTACCATTCAGTGTTGTTCACGGCGTCCCCAAACCCAGGGGTATCCACAATGGTGAGTTTCAATTTGACACCTTTCTCCTCTATATCCACCGTATGTTTGGTGATTTCTACCGTTTGTGTGATTCTCTCTAGGATAGAAAAAAAGAAGTAAACAGTCCTCAGCCATTACATAATGTAGTACAGCAAATTTTAAAACAAATAATCACACGCACCTTCTGCATTGAGCAGCTTCCTATCTTTGTACAGATCTGTGAGAAACAGACTGTTGACCAGGGTGGACTTTCCCAGGCCAGATTCACCTTCAAACAAAGAACAACAAAGAAGAAAAGACCGTCTTTTTAAAACAAACACGGTCTTAAGATCAAATAGCAGCTAATGCTAAAACGAGGATTTACCTGCTACCATGAGCGTGAAGTCAAATCCTTTCTTGACAGACTTGCGGTGCACCTGGTTTGGCAGCGTTGCGAAACCCACGTACTCCTTGTCCTGGTCCTACAAATGCACAAAAGGATAAAAATGGAATAAGGAAACAGAGGCTGTGTACACCATGGTTTCTTTTTTCAAACCTGATATCGGCTTTTTGAAATAGTTTGGCATTGTTGTCCCATTTGCAGTATTTCGACAGCAATAACGGCAACAGCACAAAGCCAAAAAACCAAAACAAAAACCCAAACAACTGTAAAACATGGTATGAAATGTATCAGCATGTTACAGCACACGGGCTGTGCTGACCCCTCTTTGGGGCTTCCTGACCGTGACGCCTTGTATTACCTCGCTACTGTCGTATGGGTCAAATCGAACCCAGGGGCTCTTTGGCCTGGAGGGACTGACGGGGGACGGCAAGTCAAACTCCACGCTTCGGCTTTGTGGCAAACCGGTGTCTGAACCTGAATCTGACTGGGCCCTGCCGGCCACGGGGGGCCGCAAATATGACGGGGTGTGGGGGCGGTCATTGCCCTCGGCCTGCCTGTCCGCATCATGAGCCTCGGGGTCATGATGGTGGTGATGCTTGTGATGGCGGAGACCGTGCCCACCATGATGCTGAGGGTCCTGCATAATGTTTTCCACTTCTGAGTCATCTGAATGGCTTGAGGGCTGGAGAGAAGTGAAGGTCGTGGGGGGGCGGGAGGGATGACGAGGCGAACAGGAAAAAAGAAATACGGTGGAGGGAAAAGAGGAACGGTAGAGCACCAATGTAGAGGGGGAGGTATGGAGATCCAGAGGGTAGAAAGTTTTAGAAAATCAACTTAAAGTTTTATGGTGAGGGATTTAAGACACAGCAACAAAGAGATCTTTCATATCTGACAACTCAAAACTGTTAGTATACCCAGCTGAAGGCCAGTGGGTAACACATGACATTTGTACATTAATGTGGATGAGCCTTTAACTATTCATTGGAAACAGGATACATGTTAGGGACTTTACAGCTGGTGGATCACCTTCTATTATAAATGAAGAGAAGTCATGTAAGAGCTGAACACTGCAGCCAAGTTGTTTTATGAAACTAACAATGAATGAACTCCAATACTGTGTTTATATTTACTCTCCTTTAAGAGTGATCGTAACATTAAAGACAAGGACTGTTTTAGACATCAGGTATTTTACTCTTTATTAAAAATGCAAACTATAAAAGTGTAAATTTTCTGTAAGAGGACACGCAGCTATGGACTCTAGTTACAGTTACTAAAGTCTCCCTGATAAATAAATAATAGAGTGGAATTCAGCAAGCAACACGGCCACTCAAATTCAGCTGTGAGCACACACTGTGACACAGTTTTAAATTTAAATTTAGACCCTAAAGAGATAAATTCATGTCTAATCCTTAGCTTAAGCGCATAAAAACTACAGACTTTGACGGCAGAAATCAGCTGAAGATGGGCAGTAACAGAAAAAAATATATATATTGGGGCGCGGGGGGCATCACCGATACCTGTTCATGGTGATCATGATCATGGTGTCTGCTCTGATTAGGGGAAGCTGGACAGGAGTCTTGTTCATCTGATGAAGAGGAATGCTCGTGGTCACTGTCCTCCATTGCAACTGGGGCTAAAGCGCACTCTGTGATCTTGAATCCGAAGGGCGCACGCGTGTGGTGAGGTTTATCGGGGAAAAGAACAACAGGGAAGTTGAAGAAGAGGATGGAGAAGGGCCAACAAAGAGCCTCGCAGATCCACGCATGAACCACAAGGAGGACATGAGGAGCACAGGTAAAATGGATAAAGACGAGGAAGAAGACGACAAAAAAATTAAAAAAAGAATAAAAGAACATACCATTTACAGCAGAAATGGTATGATGCATGTAATAATATAACAAGGGACTGAACAATAGATATATGCTATAAATTAATATGCGTCTGTATACATTTGATTGCAAAATCAAAACATGTATAGGATGAGCTAAACAGGGACAGGAATTAATAAGCATTTGCTTCCTTATTTTTTTTTCCCCCAAACAGGAATTGCTCAATATTTTCAACATGACATTTTCTTTGATATCATGTTCATTCATTTAAAAAAAAAAAAAAAAAAAAAAAAAGTATTAACTCTCGTCATGCGTTTCAAAATAAAGATTTGATCCAGATCAGGTTATGTTCACTCCTCTTGTTCTGGTGCCATTGTCCTATTCATGCTCCCAGCTACAGTTACTATTGCAAAAGCTAACTACAACTTTGACAGCAAGTAAAGTCTGTGCCAATTTCTTTCCAGTTTAATTTTGATAAAAAAAAAGCTTAGCATGTAATCTTTTTGGTGTTTCCACATGGTTATGTGCTCCACCTGTGACCTACAGCTCTAATATGATTGGGATTTAGAGCTTAAGGGCAGAGGAAACAGTGATAGTTTCACCGATTGGGAAATCGGTGACCTGCTTTCCTGATGCACAACCAAAGCCCTAAGATCAATGTCCAGCATGGTGGGTTCTGTGTCCTACATAAAATAAAGTGTCAATCACCGACATTTTGCTTTGGATTACAAATCCACAGAAGTGCATCAAACAGACTCCCACTACTTTTTTTTTTTTTGCTTAAATATGAAAAAAGCTTCAAAGCGACTTTTAGATGTATCATCTGGAATATCACACTAAAACAACTCAAGTGACTACAGGAATAAAAATCAAAGAACAAACTAATTATCAAACATATTCTCAGTAAAGTGGATAAAAGCACGTTCACCCGTTCTCACCTCCTTTCTTTCGATGCCTCACCTGTGTCTAAAACCCTCTTCTTTTTACTTCTTAAAAACTGCTCCTCGTACAAAGTCCAGCAGGACTCGGAAAGCAAAGAGCAGCGGCTCCAGCATTTATACAACTCCACGCTAGAGGACACAGTGCCCTTCAGCTCCATTGAGCTGGTCGGCACCCCGGGGAGCTGATCAGTGGCATTGATGAGGTGCACGTCAGCGCTGACAGGCATCACCAACCCAGACATAGACTACATCCATCAAATCTACTTAACTTTGGGGCTGCACAGCTCCATGTCGTGCACAATTATACACAAACTGTGAGTTTGACATCTTCTGCTGTTTCACCGTTTTGCCTGACAATTCACATTGACACCAGCAAACAGCCTAATCTGATGAGTTGAACCTGATAACAAAGCAAAAAGATAAGGAAACACTGATAGCAGCATTAGAGCAGAAAACATGATGCTACTTTGTCACTCTGTTGTACAGTGTGTGGACTGATGTTATAACATGAAGACAAATACTGTGCATATTTTGCAGGGCCCATTCTTAACCTTTGCCACTCACAGCTAATGTCTGTACTCCATAAGCCTACAATGACAGTTCCTGTGACAATAAAATATGTCAAGAGCAGAAGTATCCTCACAAAAGACTTACAGGAACTGCTCAGGGTTTGCAGTGTGACATCAAATTCAATTCTAATAATGATCGGTTCAGCCAGAGAGGATCTGAGGCCAAATTTCCTCTCATTCTGTTTGGGAGCTCGAGTACTAAAGGAGGTGACTAAAGTCAGATATTTAGGTTACATCATCAGGAACAATCACTGTGATGATAATTAGAGCCTGACAGCTATTGATACCAAAACCAATCTCTACATTTGGTGATTTAAAAACAGGATAAAGTCATATACTAATGTGCAATGCTGATATACTACCCCAAATGTGTATATTGTACAGCTGGTGTTAAAATCGGTCCTAGTGGTGTATTTAGACTAAAACTAAAATGAAAAAGAATAATGACTTTAATAATAATGACTTACAAGTCTCTGTCTAGAGAAAAGGCTCTGCAGAGGACCATCACCACCTGACTGTCAGCTTGGCTATCGCTGACCATGTGAGTTGTCTACTTAGAGGTAGGACTGTAGAACTATACAACATCCACAGACACACATATACTCTGCACATATTCAAAAGAGACATCAGTGCCTCAAATGCTCTTCTTTCTCTCCCTTAAAAATTTCAGAATGCAGAAAATGACTGACTTAAAGAACAGCTTGGAATAAAGAGTATCACAAAGGTAACCACCAAATGTTTCCACCAGATCACACGAGGTGAAGCCGAGCTGCTTACTGCCTCATTATAAACATAACTGCCGGCAATGCTGATGAATTCACTAATTAAGCTAACAAATGAATTAATTATAAACTATTTATCTGCCAAGGCACTTGTCTTCACGTACCACATTAAGCATTTAGGAGAACTCCTCATTTATAAGCAAATTTATTCAGCTCCCAGTTTCAAACTCTGCAGTTTGCATCGTCTTTACGGGAAACATCATCGTGTCTGGGAATCACACAGTTACTGTACACATTTCCTATTCCTTTTCTGTTGTATGCACATATTTCAGAAACTTACATGTTACCTTTTTGTGTAGTGTGTCTGTGTCTTCATTCCTTTCTACTTTTGTAGCATTCCTGAAGTTGACCCCAACTTCAGAGCTTGGTTACAGATTTCTTCTCTAAGCCAAACATACTCTCAGTTTACCCCTTCTTTAAAAGCAGCCGAGATAGCAGGCATTACTGAATGCAGGTAGGGGATTTGTCTTCCTCTAAGCACTAAAGCAGCTTTGTACAGCAAACTGATGAGGTTCAAACAGGTTCAAATTCTTCCTCTCACACCAAAGCAGCCATCAGGCCATTCCTCCGCTGTGTTCTCGGCCCTGATATCTAAGAATTTAGAGCCGAAAAGGTCTTAAGAAAGGAATGCCACAGGAAATTGTGTTTGGGTTTTGTTTTTTTGTTTTTTTCATTTTTTAATATACCTAAGGAAACATTAATTTTCTCTTTTATTCAGCTGGAAGAAAAAACAGCAGACTATAAGTCAAGAACAATTACAACTATTCTGTGTTCCTAGTATGCATAAAGTAGGAAAAGGGATATTGGGGAATTATTAAGGCAGAGTTCAACATAGGCGAGACATTTAGGCTGATTTTACTGGAGTTCCATTTTCCACATGCAAACATTTCCACTAACTTTAAAAAACCATTCAAGTATCTCCTGACACATTAATCTTGGGCTTAAATGCATTCCCACTAAAATGCACTTCAGCACAACTTGCTCAGCGCCATCTTTCCAATTCAGTTTGGGTTGAAAGCAAAGCCCGTAAACCTGCACTTTAATGGTTACTGTGAACAGGCTGAACAATTCAAATATGAGCAAATGTTCTGAGATCAGCAAAAGCTCCTTTTAACAAGATTTACCATCATATATTTCTTAAAGTTGGCTTCTCCAAGCCAAAAGAAAGGCAATTTCCAGTCCCGAGCCAATAAAAAATGAAAGTCAGGCTATTGTGTGTCATGCAGATAAATCAATATGCTAATGAAACACATGATTGACTACGGATAGAAAGATTAGTGCTGCTCTCATGAGCAATACAAACACAGAAAAGCCATACAACTTACACAGCTCTAGATTTAAAGTTTAGAAAGAGACCCCAACAAAAGTTTAAAAAAGAAAAAGAAAAAAAAAGCCCCCAATCTTGTGTAAGATTTACAGAAGTGTCCCCCTAATCCCGATTTCTCCAATATTAACTGATGACGTGAAAACAATCTTCTTTAACTAGAATGAAACCTGATGGGCTTTGACATCTATGTCACATTTTTCCATTTTGGTCCCACACAGTCTCCCACTGGAATGAGTCTCCACTGAGACCTGAACCAATTATAATTTCCATAACTGGCTCAGGGTGAGTTCATCGAGAAAATAAGCAACCAATCGCTAGAGAATCCACGCAGAGTTTGACGAGAGATAAAACAGAACAGATAAACTGCCAACTGGGTGAAACCATGGTGTAGCTGGTTCTGATCCAAAGTGGTACCGTGAGGATCGGAAGCACAAAGCCCCAGCTGGAAATCAGGAACACCAATGCCCAAGAAGTAGTGCCAAACAGGCCTTCATAACACAACAGTCCATATGGCTTTTGAGACTTCCTCACATTATTCAAAAATGCTTTAAAGACTTCCTCACATTACTCAAAAACATTCATCTACATTTTCTACATAGCAAAACAAAGGAGGGAGGGAAAATTAATCACTGGTATGTGGACACAAACATTTTGCCTCTGGAACGGACATATTTTACTTTGTCAACAGCTGCGTCTTTGTCATTTCCTGCAACACTGATAAAAATGCACTTATGATGTTCGCCTGAAACGTTCTGTTTGCCATGTGAAATTAGTAAGAAGTGGGGTTAAAGTAACAATTTTAGCTCTTTGTTGCATATACAGTCCACAAAGATGGATTCAATAATCTTAATGATATTTAATAAGCAGTCTAAGAGGCAAGTGGTAGGTTTCTGCACAGCTACTGAGATGAATAATACTAGCCTTTGAAGTTCTTTCCAGTCCTTTATCAAGAAGACCACTGTTTGGAAAAAACAACCTCTCAAGTATGTGTGGCATTTATTACGATGGGAGTAAAATCTTTATGCTAAGCGGTGCAGTCCCTGAGAAACAATTGGAGGACATGAAACCTAGCCAAACACAAACAAGTTGTGCGGCTGACTGTGCTGCTTTGTTACTTTTGGATCAAGATGGTGGGTTTGGCTGGCACAGCGCTGATGGATGGTGATATGTTGCATTAAATGCTGCTCTTAGGGGAAAAGCCCTCTTCAAATGTACGACATGGGAAATGCAATCAGAAGCTGCCAAAAGTCATAAAGAAGCCGGGCAGCGTGTTGTTATTCACCGTCCGTGATGAAAGCACATTTCAGCTCGGTAGGAAATGCAGTTGACAGAGTCGTATATAATCCAGCTACAATAATTACTGCACTATTATTCACTTCATGCTAAATCATTTTTGCTTGACATAAGGTGCCATGGTTGGCACGAATTCTCTCTCTACTGTATGCTGGTAGACGGAGCATGATTATTATTATTTCATACACACTGTATTGATATTATGCTCCTCCTAGATTTTAGTGTTTCCACAATTCAATACAAGACACGATTTATATAGCACCAACTCACAACAAAAGTCACCTCAAGGTGCTTTACGCTGTCAGATGAGAGAAAAAACCCAACAGTAAGATCCACTTTGAGCAACCACTTGACAACAGTGGGGAGGAAGAACTCCCTCTTATCAGGAAAAAAACACAACCTCTGAGAGAACCAGATTCTGTGAGGGGTAGCCATCTATTGTGATGAGTTGGGGTGGAGAAAAAGAGTAGACAGAAAAGGAAAGCATAGAGAGCTATTACAGACAAACAGAAACTATGTGAGAGAGTAGAAAAAATTAATGACAAACAGCAGTAAAACAAGAGAGTGGAGTGGGTCTCCTGCCAATCGGAATCAGTGGATTGCCTCTCCCATGTGAGAGTATCCTTGAGTAGTGCGAGTTCGAATGTTAGATACAGCACATGCATGAATGGTTGTTTGATTCGGCAAATGAGGCTTATAGTCAGGGGTGCACATAAGTGGTCCACGGGTGCGCATTTGCTGTCAAAAATAAAAGACGCGCACCAGATAAGAAGTTGCAACGCGCGTTTGCGTACATATAAAAGGCACTGGTTTTGTCCGCTAGAGTGGGATTTTCACGGCATATTCTGCACCACATCTCTGTGCTTTCATCATTTGTTTGAAGCCAGCTCACATCCTGCAACCACTTTTCCGAGAATACGTGCTTCTTTTGCGGTTCGGACTCCTTCTGACATTTGTTTGGAGGTGGAGGAGCTTGCTTCTTTGACATCTTTAAGAGTTCTAAACAAATGTCTGTCCTCCTCCAGAAAATCTTATGTACGCAAACGCGCGTTGCAACTTCTTATCTGGTGCGCGTTTTTTATTTTGACAGCGAATGCGCACCTGCGGATCACTTACGTGCACCCCTGACTATAGTAAAGAGTTCTTGGAGTTCAGCTGCAGCAGAAAAGTTGAACATAAGTACCACAACATTTCACATGTTAGAGTGGAGAAGAAGTGCTCACTGCCATCATGGGAAGTTCCATCCACTGCCTAGGCCTTAATAGTTGTTATCACAAGAAGTAATCCACTAGTCGCACATTGCTTTGTCACGGACACCTCAGTTACCTAGGTATCAAACAGGAAAATTTAAAGTCTAACATTAAAAATAGAGAGAGTGTCTGTCTCCAAAAGCCAAACTGGGAGAGAGACAGTTGAAGGCTGTGTCTCCCAGTCTACTTTTAGAAACTCTAGGAACAACAAATAAGCCTGCAGTGTGAGAGTGAAGTGCTCTACTGGGACAATATGATAGTTTGTGATACCCAAAAGATCTCACAGAGCCTGATCCTTCAGGACCATCCCTGTGAGATGAAGGATTTATATTCAGTGAAAATCAGCCAGTACGAGAAAACTATTACTTCTATTTTGGATGAGTTGAAGGCTTTTCAGGGAGCTTTTAGCTGTTCATTAGGTAAAATACTACCGCCTAGAAGTAACAAACTTGTGGACTAGCTTTTCAGCATCACTCAGGAGACAGGATGTTTATAGTTTTAGCAGTATTGTGCAGATAAAAGGAGGCAGTTAGACATTTGTTTAAGGTGCCGGTTGAAGGAGATATCCAAGACTCCAAGAAAAATGAGATGTCATGAATATAAAAGCTGCATTTATACTAATAAAGCATGATTACAAATGCTTTATCAGCATTAACAACACTGTGTGTATTCCTCTTTACAATCTTAATGTTGTGGAATAGAGAGGCTGAATCCCAGTAAGGTTTCCCCTTGTGATGAGGCCAGTAGCAGGTGGTGAAGGGAGCCATGTGTGTGCCGTGTGAATACTGTGGTTGTTTGGATAGTTATAGCGGCGCTCTGTGTGAAGCTGGCTCAGTTCAGAGAGAGAGAGAGACAGAAATAGTCCAACTCACCACACTCTCCCACAGCTATAGAGCCCATACAAATATTCACACGACCACAAATATTCACTGCTACACACAAAAATTATGTTTTTATCATTTCCTACTCCAAGTCAAAAGAATACAAAAAGATAGCAGCACCCTAATCAGGTGTTTCCTCTTCCTCAAATGTATTTCTGTCACAGTAAAGCACCAGGAAACGACGTCTTCCTCCATCTAAGACTCGCTTACAAACGCGCTCAGTGCATTAAGCCATCACATCTGATCAATGCATGTGTCAATCAGGGTTAGCGTTTTAACTTCTTAGAGATGTGCACAAAGGAAAAGCGAAAACCAAACAGATACTCCCAGCAGCTTAGCATAAAACCACCATTCGCTGAGAAAAAGAACAAGCCTGGTCACATGCATTCATGTGAACGGTCCAGCTCCCACAAGGTTTCATGAGGATAATCTGAATGCGGCCAAAATCAAACACATGTACAGGGAGAACCTGCAACCACATGTAGGAAACTCAAAAGAAAAAACAAAACACCAAGAGTGAGTCACAAGCAGCCGCTAAATGCTGGGTCAGCAAGAAGAAAAGCAGCAAACACATACCCCTCCATCACCGTTTGCTTCTGAATTTGCTGCCATATTATATCTTCAGTACCAGTGGTATTCCTTGAGGCTCACAGCTTAAATTGCACAGAAACCAGTGCAGAGATGTCACTTAGCTTCTGGGCCCCCACTCGCGTTACATAAGTGCATCAACTTTCCCTGCAATCAAGTGGCATACAAAGTTCCTCCTGCACATGTCCAACATCTTTATCAAACAGGTAAACCTTCAATCTATGCCTTCTCTGCATCTGGAGCTTTTTCCAGAGCTCCACCCAGCTCTCCCCTTTCTGACCAATCTGCAGCTGTTATGCAGATAAGCAGCAGCAATTGAGCCTGTGTGTGCGCGCACCTCTGTTCTGCCTGTAGAAGAAACACTTGTTCTGCAGGGAGACCAAAGACACTGGCCCTGCAAGCCATGCAACAAGCAACTCATGCCCTCATTCCTAAACCCACAACACGCGTGCGATTAACACATAACACAAACACACACACACGAAATATCTTCCGCCAACAGAAAACACATGTGAGAAATAATTCTGTGAATAATTCAAACTATCACTGGGAGAATCTGGTTTTGCAAGAACCTGTGATGAAGCATCAGAAGATAACAGCACTGTGCAGTTAAACTCTTACAATGGCCTTTACATCCAGTCCAGACCTCCCAGCTGGCAGTACCAGGACCAGAGCGGCACGAGGAGAAAGAGAGAGAAAGTGTGTCCATGAGGGGGAGGAGAGGTAGTGTGTGGCCTACATGCTACAAATAATCTTTTTTTATCTAATACACACTTCGTCCGCCCCCCCACACACACACACTCTTACTTAAGTGGACCACAGCTCAAAGCTTTTCCATTAATCTCAGAGATTCCCTGTGTTTTGCACAGTCTTACAATACTCACTCATTCTTAAAGGATTTTGTGATTACCATGTTGGGTTCTGAACAAGGGTGAATGAACTCAAGTGTTCTGTGGTTTGTTTGTTTTTTAAATTTAAATCATAAAGCTAAAAACCAGTTAAAAAAAAAAAAACCCACAATATGATGGTGATTCTGTGATCTACCAGCATGTGACAGTAACGAAACATAACCGGAAACAAAAAAAAAAGAAAAAGAAAAATATAAAAGCTCAGCTTGCGTCTGGGCTGAGATCTAATCTTCAGCTTTTTAGGGGAGAACAAAAACAGGAGCAGAATTCAGCTGAGAGTTCATTTTCTGCCTATGGGAGGAAGAGCTAAATGTAACACGATCCCAATCTTAATAGCTTTTGATGCAAGTGTGCCAACTTATACAGCCGTAATAACTACCATAAGCAGAAGCAATGCAAATAGAATCAGGTCAACAGACGTGCCAGTCTAAGAAACCACACAGTAGGCAAATCTCACTTAAACATCTATTAAATGTGACACATGTTCAGGACTGGCCTGGATGAGAAACACAGGCTTATAGACAGGAGATATTACTTCCTGTAAGGAAAGATAGTGTCTGGGGAGACAACTGCTGCCTTGCTTTAATCCTCTCTGGCTGCATCACATCATGAGGGTGATTATCGTGGACTGTCTGAAAGGGCTGACTGTGCCCAAGGGACCGTCAGCTTTAGATATAGTGCAAACACATGCACATACCTGTATGATGGACTACACACACACACACGCTCGAGTCAAACAGTAGAGTCTACAGTGCTGTGAGGATCACACTGCCCCTCATAATTAAAATGTCTCCCCGTACATGTTTACACTGCAGGGTTGGCTTGGGGCCAGCAGGGCTGGAATGAGTTTCTTGATAAAACTATTTGGTCCAGTAAGCTACACCATATTTTATTATCTCAAAATGTCAAAGACAGAGCCAATTCATCAGTCTGCTCAACAAATTATCATCTCTATGACTTTGTGTTGCATGTATGTGCTGAGTTTCTCTCACACAGAGGACGCACTGTGGGACGGTGGAGGGAGGGCAGTGCCACCTGCTGCTCATGACTGGAAACGGCTTGATAGGAGTTAATGGGTGTCACGGATGGTACTGTAAGTGTAGTATGTGCATGGGTCATGGGGCTTTTCCACAGCAGAAAGTGTGACTTTGGAAAGCAGGGAAGGCGCCGAGGTTAAAAAGGTCTATTCAAAGTACCAGAGGCATTTAAATAAAGTAGATTAACCAAATAAAGCCAGCTGTGAGGCATGGAAAGAGGTTTTTTTTGGTTTTAATAGAAAATATAATGGAATTAAAAACAAAAAACTTAAAAACAGGCCCGTAATATCAACATGAGCAGTCTTTCAGCAGGTCATCTCACGGCCAAACGTCAGAAAGTCCCAAAAAAGCAATCTGCATGCTCGTGCTCATGAACGCAGACTGTTGTTTGTTAGCGGGGACCTAGCTGTCATACACTCCCTGGACAGGTTGCAATCTGTTGCAGGACTAACACACAGAGACAGACAACCATTCACGCTCATGATAATTCATGGCATATTTTAAAATAGCGCAATAAAAATGAGAGAAATAATCCAGGTATGACCAACTGTGGTCTTTTTCATAAGCGGCGACATGATCCATGACACCACTGACCTGCAAATGTTTTGTCTATTAAAACAAGAAAATATATACATTTCATCGCCATGGACACAAATCAGTGCACACTTGAGTGGACAGATGAAAATGATGAGAATAATGAAATACAGTTGCCAAGAAACACAAATCACTGGATTAAAAGACTGTGTAGCAGCTTCATTTAATGGCATTTGGGCAAGACTTTGTAAACATATACTGCACAAACGAGCCCCGAACTCGAGACAAACAGTCCTGCCTTTGGCTGCAGCAGAGTACTTCGTGCATGCAAAGCAAGGAAAGAATGGAAACCTGTGTTTTTAGACGCAGACAGGAAACATGCAGCACAAAACTTGGAACTTGATATAGAAGTTCGCCTGAGCTTCCCTAAAAGAAACTGGATAAAAAGCCCTAGAAGGTAGCACAGTAACACGAAATACACTCTGACACCCTTTGAAGCAGATATCCAGCATCTATGCAGGAACCGAAATATTGTTCCACAACAGGCATCAACAAGGAAACGCTAGATTTGCTGAACTTGGACTT